GCTGCAATGTGACATGGTTATCTTGTAAAGTCATTTTTATTCCATTTCTTTTCCTATTGAAGCAAAAAATTTTCAGTTTTCTTATATACTCTTATCCCTCATCATTAGATTCTCTTGTTTCCTTCTGTTCAGGTCAATGATGGAGTTGTCCTACCGGATAAAGCTTCTCTCTATCTGACAGCAATAGAAGATGCAGAGTACAAAGATGACAAGATTGAATGTGAGCATATTATTAACCTCTTTGCTTATGCGAAACTGGATTGGTATAATTTAGCATATAATTAACCTCCCTTATAGCATATTATTAACCTCTCTTATGCTACATGGTATTGTTCATTTATATTGATCTTATATTACCTATCTTGCTTCTAGTTTGGAATAATGTTTATGGGTTCGACATGAATTGCATAAAGAAGCAAGCAATGATGGAACCTCTTGTTGACACAGTTGACCCGAATCAAATTGTCACAAATTGCCACCTACTCAAGGTGAGAAATACACATCACTAGCATTTATCCTAGTGCATTTGTCTCTAACTTCTTCTATGAACATATATTCATGCATAATGTTTTTTTTTTTATTTTTATATCGTGTCATTCAGACAATGGATATCTCTAAGATGACTGCTGGGGATGCTTCCTTCACAGCTCCTTTTAAGCTTGTGGCAAATCGCGATGATTATATCCATGCCCTTGTTGCATACTTTGATGTATCATTTACCAAGTGTCACAAATTGATGGGCTTCTCTACAGGTTTTTCTCTCTCTCTCTCTCATTTCCCTTTCTTCAGTCTGGATTTGAAGTTTTTGTAAAGCTTATTGCAAAAATGAAAAAAAATTTTTAAAAAGGAAAAAGATAAGGTTTTTTGACAGCATGAAGTTGAAATCAAATGCAGGGCCAAAATCACGGGCCACACACTGGAAGCAAACAGTCCTCTACCTAGACGATGTGCTAACCATATGTGAGGGGGAGGCAATAACTGGTAGCATGACTGTTGCACCGAACAAGAAGAATCCCCGAGATGTCGATATAATGATCAAATATTCATTGAATGGTCTGCGTTGCGTGATTTCAAAAGTTCAACACTATAAGATGCGATGATTTTTGTCACCAAATTCTTAGCCGCTTCCCATGCTTGTCTGAATTCCAGTAGTTTATGGGAAAGCACAAGGCAGGTTGGTTTTTTCATGTAAAATGTATCATGAGTTACTTTCAAATTATTCTTTCATTCTACCCCAGATGATTAACATGTATTAAAAATTTGGAATATTTTTTATATTTGATATATTTCACCTCCTTTTTTCTCTTTCAATTTTCCTAGAAAGAATAATGTTGATGCTATTGTCTTATCTCCCTTTTTCGGTGAGGTTTGAAGTTTGAACTGATTAAGGTTGTTTCAAGCAAAACTTGTTTACCTGTGAACTGAAATCTTACCCCTAACAATATGGTAAAAACTTACTTTTAGCCCCTCACCTTATCAAGTTTGAATGTTTTAGCCCTTCATTTTATATTATAACATTTTTAACTCCTCATCTTATTAGATTGGTAGGTTTTAGCTCCTCACTTATTAAAATTAAAAAAAATAACCCTCATTTTATATTGACGGTTAACTTCATTAATTGGAAATAAATTTTTATCAACTAATAGTTAATTAACAGAATGAACGAAATATTATAAAATTAGTTTTATTAACGCTGTTAGTTAAAAAAAATTTGTGTTAGTTAACAATTAGCTAAAAAAAGATTTGTGTCAGTTAACAATTAGCTAATAAAGTTAATAGTCAACTAACAGAATTAACAAAATGTTACAAAATGAGGACTTTTTTTCTTCAATTTTAATAGCTGATGAGTTAAAAATGTTATAATATAAGGTGATAGGCTAAAATTTATAAATCTAATAAAGTGAAAAGCTAAAAGTGTTATCATATAAGGTAAAGAGTTAAAACCTTCAAATTTGATAAGGTGAAGGTTAAAACCTTCAAATTTGATAAGGTGAAGGTTAAAACCTTCAAATTTGATAAAGTGAGAGACTAAAGTTAGGATTTTGCCCAACAATACCTCCCGTAGAAGGGAAAAATGGTTTATCCCTCTTCTTTGGTTGATGTATTAATCATCACAAAGGAAAATTAAGTTATATGACATATAGTCAATTACTTAAATAGTTTAGTAATAATCTCCTACTCCTTTCAATAAAAATTATAGGTCTAGGATGAGATAAAGAATAAAAAAAAGTTGTCTTCTATTATATAATTCAAGAGCAAAAATTAAAAAAGTTATATAGCAGGTCTTAGGTGAGTTAAGTAAAAAGGATGAATTAAGGAATAAAAATGGTTATATCTGCATTTGGTGAAAATAATATATCATGGGTGGATTAAGAAATAAAAGAGGATTACTTCCCATTATACAACTAAAGATCAAAAATGAAAAAAGGTTATATAACATACAAATCAGTACCATCAAGAAAAAGAGAAAATTCAAGAATAGAGATTTTTTTTTTTTTTAACTCTCCTGAGGGATACGGTACAATATTCAGCAATATAGCAACTCTGCAAAGTAATCTTCAAAAATTCCCAAAGATGGGTAAGATACTAAGAAGTTTCTAAGGAGGAGCTTCAATTCCTCAGGTTTTTACTCAATCAAACTCTTCTATGGTAAATGGCTATAGCTAGCAGAGCATGTTAATGCAGTGAAACAAAACTGCAAACCTTTTGAAATTTGAAATTTTCTCCAGACGAGCATTTTGAATTGTCTTAAAGCTCTGGCTTGCTGCCCTTAGCATTCCCTGAACGTGCAGCTTTAAATCCTTTCCACCACTTATGAATCCGGTAGGAGACCTTGTTTGCATGTTTCTTTAATGCCTCCCCAGCATGGGCAATGCCTTTGGTGATCTTCTGCTTCCAATTGCTTTTTGCACTTTCTTTCTCTCTCAAAAGATTTCCCTGGGAGAAATGATTATTAGCAGTGAGCATAAAAAAAGGATAAATTTTCTGAACCTATCTGATGTGATATTTTGTTAGTACCAATTTTGAGGAAAATGGTGCCTCCTCATCATCCTCATCTTCATCTTCATCAGCATCTTCACCGACATTTTTCATGTTCATCAACTCGTCCCTCGAGTACATCTTCATGTTGGGAGCTCCTGGCATACCCTAAAGCAAAGAATAAATAGAATAAAGACCAAATAGTAACATCAAAATACCAAGCATAATTTATTACGCAACAAATGGTGATTACCTCCATGGACCTTAAAATCTTTTCCATTTCGGCATCCTTGGATGGTTTGGGCTCAAAAGGTTCTCCTGGGGTTCTATCCTGTTCCACCATGGAAAGAATGTTGGAGTGAGTATAATAAGCTTGAAGAATGTCGGGTCTTGTAACAGTTTGTGAAGTGGCATCTTGGTATGTAAAGGCGGAAGGTTTGCAGACAATAGTAAGAGCAAACAGGATTGAAATAATTAAATAAAAGTTCACCAGATAAATATATTTAGAATTTTGCAGAATATAAACTGTTATAAAAAGTTTCCTTCTGAAATGCTTTGACATGCCAAAAGAGTATTAATTACAAAAAGATTTTAGACAATGTAAGAATTTTTAAGATTAAGAATAGATCGAGGGGAATGCTTTCCCAAATCTCAACTATGTTAGTACACTGACACCACATGGAATGCACATTTTAGTCATCCAAGATTTGAACATAAGACGTCTCTAGACCTTATAACTTGGGAGTTGGGACTCAAACTACACTAGTCTTGGGAGAACAACAATCCCCTTATCCTAAATATTATAGAGTAAGGATGTAAACAATCATTATATTGACAATATTGATGATAAAATAGTCAGAGAAAAGATACATAAAAAAAAAAAAAATGATGAACAGATAAGTTAGCCGTGTCCAATAAAGAAAGCTGTTACCTTTGGGACTGGAGGAGGCTTGGTACGGCATGCCTCAGTCAGGTCCTTACATAGGTAATTTATCAGTGACTCGATATCAGGCTTGGATGTATACATATACTCAGCAACATCAGTATCAGAGTATCCTATAACCTGCAAAAGTTGAAAAGCGTGGAATATCCATTATTTGGGGTCCAAACTGAAGCCAAGTAACATGATCACAATCCACAGAGAGAGGAAGATAAAAGTCAATTGATCCAAAATGGAATTCCAGACTCAAGAAAATTAAAGAAAATAAGAGCAGAAAATTTAAACCTCCTGACAAGCTCTTTCAATTGTCTTGCATTCTGAATTGCATTGTCCTTCAACATCCTGTTCCACCAACTGCAAACATATGAACACTTCTTTAGTCACCAGGCTCAAATCCATTCAGTAAACCCTAAAATGCATTCTCATTCTTTCATCATCACCCAGCAAAAACACATCAAAAGCCATAGACTTTCCTTAAAGAAACACTTCTTTTCCAAATTGGGTCAATGGAAATGCACAAGAAAAACTGAAAGAACCCAAAAAAATTACGAAGTTTATTCATCTCACCTCCAACTTATCTCTTTGCTCTACTATATCAATCCGCAATATCCAATCCGCTTCCTCCTTCTTCAAATTACAAACATTCTCCGCAATCTCAATGATTTGAAACTCGGAGATCTGAAAACCCCACAAAAACCAAACAAACAAACAGCCCATCAATCCAAAAATCAAAATAACAAACAGAAATCCACTAAAACACAAATCAACCCAATTGAAAAAACCTTCGTGGGACCGATCTGGGTCTGCTTCTTCTGCACTTGCTGGTGCAACTGTGATGCAAGCTTCTCACATACTTGGCATTTGATGTAGGGTACGTCTTCCTTCCTCGCTACCGTCACTGGTTTCTTGAGACCGTGAGAGTTCGGTACCCACGAACAGAACAGCAACACTGACACTACAGCAACTAGGATTCGATTCATCCTTTCCAAATTCTCAGGAATTCGAAAAAGAACTAAAAATTTCTTCAAAGAAACAGAAAAATTCAGTTCCTTTAAAAAGGAAGTGAAGTTTTTCCTCGGTGCCACCGCGCTTCTCCTCTCCTGGTAGGAGGAAGGAAATAAGTATTACGTGTTCCGCGGCATTTGATTGGTTCTTCGGAATTGTTTAAGTGGGCTCCACAGTTTTCAGCCAATAGGATGCAAGACAACACGTAATTTTGACTTTCCCCCAACGATTACGATCAAGAAAGATTATTGCTGACTGATTTTCAATAGCTGATCAGGACCGTTCAGACTAATTACGTAGTCAACACTCCATGCTTACCTGGCAGAGCGTCCGAGGAGTGTTTGAACCGCAGAGAAACAGAGTGGGGTGTCACGGAGCGTGAGTTCGGGGGCCCAAGTCAAGGCCATCGTGGCACGGGGCGGCAGCCACGACACCCACGGGTGAGCGAGCATGGGCACAGGCATGGACGCGGGCGCGAGCGCGACATGGAACGCCTAAGAGGCAGGCCTAGCATGAGTTGGCAGTGTCCATGCCAAGGCCGTGGCACGAGGTCGCATGAGGTCACGGTCGAGACACGTTGGAGCATACAAGAGCGGCCCAGAAAATTCTAGAAGCTGCTAGGTGCACAGAGATGGTTCCAGATAAGGGTCTGGATGGGTTTAATGGGCCAAGCCTAACCTGAGAAACTCCTGGGGCCTTATACATAATTCTAGAATAAGGGGTTCTAGAATATTGTAGGCTAGGCTTAGAAGGGAGAGTGGAGAATGTTCTGGAATTGTAAATATGAGGGAAATTTGTGGAGTGTTCTAGAGACCTCATCTGTAGAGGGATTTGGGCCAGACCTCTTCTATAAATAGGGAGGCCTAATAGAAGAAGGGTAGACCAAAGTGAGTAAGCTGCTAGGTGAGTGAGTGCATTGAGGGGTTTTGTACTTAAACTCTTGTACACTCCCTTGCGATCTTAATAAATTCTCTTTTTCTCCCAACTTCCTACATTCGTTTACATGTTGCTAACCTTGAGCCTAGTACAAGGGCCACGCCAATTGTTGGGAAGGCTGACTTGGTTCTGGTTGACGAGGTTAATTCCGAGTTAAGTGTCGCACGAGGTTGAGCTAGATTCTGCCTTCGAGACAAGTGCCATTGGAGCTAGTCTCACCCCGTGACAGGGGGCTGGCTAAACTCTTAAAACCGTAATATGGGCTTTGTGAGGCTACCTCAGCCACCCAATTTTCATTGTATGCAATTCAAACATCTGTTATTTTTATTTTTATTTTTTTGACCAAGGGTAATTTTTGGGGTGAAGGGGATTGAACCCAGTTCATGGGGCTGAATGATACACACCGTTACCAATCAACTTACAAGGTCAGGTGTGTAAACATATGTTAATTTTATTAGGAAAAAATTACAAAAAATTGTGTTCTAATCCGTTCTGTAACATCCGTATCATCAAAAACTATGATGGACTATAACATTAAAACCATCAAAAAGGGAAGGTCCCTGATATTAGGCCTTTCCTCTTTTTTTTAATAATCTTGAATTTTGATGATATAATCTGTCGTAAGATACTCAAAAAATTATTATTGAATTAGTATTTGTTTAGTTTGTGTACATTTTTTTTTAATTTTTTATATTAAAATTTAGATTTTTTATTATTTTTTATCAACTCTTAAATTTTATAATAATTTTTAATTAAAAAAATTTAATTAAGTAACTAAAGTTGAGTTAAAAATTATGTTTAGTAATTAATAGGATTATTTAAAAAAAAATTGTATATAATCACATTAAAAAAATATATTAAGAGAATTTAAAAAAACACTCAATGTTAATTCTTATTTCATATATCCCTTCGTTTTCACTACTACTATTATTATATTTAAAAATTTAGATTGTATTTTCTTTTCTCTCAATTAAAAAACTATAATATGGTTAAACATGATTAAATACCTATGTGTTGTATGTGCATTGTACAAGATGATATTTATACATTAATTTTTATTATTGTTGATGTTGTTGTTACTATAATAATAATAATTATTATTATTAATATTAATAAATAAAAATTTCAAAAATATGTGTTAAGAAAAATAAAAATAGAGCATATATATAAACTAAAATAAATAAATAAATAAGAATTGAATTTTTTTAGTGATTTTGACATTTATAAATATTGGTGAATTAATATGAATATTTCTTAAATT